CACAATAGCGTTTACATGCCTTTCCGTGAGCTCGTTTAAGCACATGGATTTCTCCCAGTCAATCAACAGATATCAGTCTACGTCACAGATAGTGACACTATGGCATCTGACCAATCAGGAGTTGCCCGGGGCATTTCAAACTTCAGCGTCCTTCCGGATCTTGTCAAGTACGGATTTACGCTCCTACCTACTCCCACAAATACGGAAATAGCATCAAAACAAACAATGGTAAGTTAATGAAACTCACACATTATATGGTTGAATAGTTGTGTTAAATGTTGAGATAGCTGTTGTTTGCATAGGATTTATAGAAATTAGTGAACGTTGGCCATGAAAAATGGTGTGATCATATTTAATCCCCCGTTCAGGTAAAACTAGCGCAAGCAACAGAGTGTCCATTTTTAGACATACGCCCGATGCGTCTAGTAAGCCAAACTTAGGTCAAATTTTTTTTTAAATAGTTTTTAATACAAATAATGCATTATAACGTAGGACAATAGTATTTAATAGTGTATTGAATGTTGTCACAGGTTGATATAACATTATTCAGTGATCCAGTGAAAAACTTAAGCCATTTATTGAAATGATCATGCCATAAATAGCGAAATAGGTGTAATTTTGGTCGGTTTTATGACCTTATAATAATTTTATTATACTTAAATGTATTGGCATTATTTAACTTATAACAGTTTTTTTTGTTATTATTATTATTTTTACTACTAACCCAGTTTATATTATTATGGCATATATTGGTGTTTATTTTACTGTGAGCATTATTACTGCTAAAATAAGTGGTACCACCAGTACTTATTTTTCACTTCTTATTATATATTTACAGTTTATATGTCAATATTCTTTGTTTTCAGATCTGCACTTTACTGTTGCTGGTTTTTTTTTTGATTCACAAATTTTTAAAATTGGGCTTGATATTGACTCAAAAACTTACTTTTCTTTTGCAGCTGCCTACAGCAACAGCTAGACCTGCAAGTCCTGCAGCAGGAAGCAGAACATACTGAGGTCAAACATGGTCTGGAAGGTCCTACATGAACGCTAAATAAAGTGATCGGGTTGATGTGCGTGTTTATATGTCACAAGCTTCAAATCGGAATTGATTTTTTTTGACATGCGCACACTGCACAAATATAGAGTTTCTCACTGCTTGCACATAATAACCACTCTCCTACACGGTTTCTTTATTTGTTTTTTACAGCAGAATTAATATTTATTAATTTATGGATAAATATACATATAAACCGCTGTGCCGTGCTGCTCATATTTATCACACAGTAAAAATGCCCCTCCCCGCATCCAAAACGGGTTGCTTGTGGATGAGAATCCAAAACAAGGACTGGTGGGAGGTTGTCCTGCTCCACTTCACAGTTGCCGAGTGAAAGGAGAGTTTTATAATGACAGGACACGCATTTATACAACACTTTATTCAAAAGGAAGAACCGCTCGTTCTGCGTGTCATACGTCATTACTCTATTTCTCCGTCATTGCACATGCGCAGTCATTTTAGTTTCGGGCTTCAATCCGATCAAGTGTTTACATGCACTCTCAATCGTATTAGAAAAGGAATAAACCACCCCCTTCAATCCGATTGAAATTTCATTCCGATCGAGCTCAATCGGATCGATTAAGGTGTTTACATGAAGGCTTTTCAGTCCGATTGAGCCGTCAATCCGATTACAAATGGATTATTTGGTTGCATGTAAACGTAGCCAGTGATGAACGCAAGTGCTTTATCGAGTACCATGAAGCAAGTGACTGGAATTGTGACACGTGTAAAAGAAAAAATATTTTCCTAAATAAAAAAAAATCCTAAATATACTATTAAGTTTATAAATGTTTTAATAAATATTTTTTATTATTTTATGTATGTGTCTTTTTTTATATATATATTTTTGTGTATATCCACTTTTTGGAAAAACAAATGACCCTAGTTCATCAAAGAAGTAGTTGCCTAAGTGACTTTGACACAAGAAAAAGAAGAAATGTTCCTAAATAAAAGAAAAAATGTATGAAGAAAAATCTGAAGTTTATATATGTTTTTGTGTTTATTTATATTTTATATATGCGTCTAATATTTTAAATATATACAGTTTTTTTGGGGGGGGGGGATGACCATAGACTGGTGAGGAACCATATATGGTAACTTCATTGACCTTGATTTGCAACATACATTTTTTTTTTTTTTTAGTCACAAAAGTTCAAAAGCCTTGTAATAGCCTCCAATAATACTGCAGGGTTGAAAGTTTGAATTTCCAAGTATTTCAATGAGTGCCCTATGGGTTAAGGGAAAACTAGCTAAAGTAAAACTTTAGTTAATACTGAATATGTGTTCCCTATGCTGAAGTGTTACTGTGTTTTTTATCTTCTTTTTTTGGAAAGATGTTTTGTCAGCTGAACAGTCGACATGTTGTTAAACTACAATATGTCGAGTCGCATTTATTTATATAGCACTTTATACAATACAGATTGTTTCAAAGCAGCTTCACACCATAAACAAGAAATCAACAGCATCAGTATTGTCAAGTTCTTCAATTATGAAACAAATACAATTGCAGGCGTAAAACGGCTCTAAAAAGACAATAGTGTAATTATTAAGCACAGTTCAGTTTAATGTTGATTCAATTTAGTCCAATAACAGTACAAGCCATTGAACACGCTGTACTTCTGTCCCTCACAGCCTCCTCGTCAAACATTAAAAATGGCACTTCCTGACTCATGGCAGAGTTAATTTTGGGGTGAACTGTTCCTTTAAGAGCAAGGAAAGTTTTTATTCCGTTGCCAATTATATGGACAATCGAGTCTTCTATGTCTTAGTGAGTGATTCTGTTTTCTTTTGTCTCTCTCTTCTTCTTTTTTGAATGTATTCGCTCACCCTCTCTCTCTATGCCTTTATTTATTTCTTCTTCCCCATTGGTTTCTTTGAGGCTTGGTTTGGGACTAATGGCTGTGCGGAGGGAGTGAAGATGATGTCATGGTTTTCTTTAATTTTTTTCCCTACCATTTTTAGTCATAGAAACTGCTGAGGGTGGGGCATACCGACACACGCACTAGTTTTTAACATCCCCCTCATTTTTGACCTTCTTTAGCCCAACTAAGGCATACAACTGGTAATGCTTTATAAATGAAGATGTGAGATATCAGATACGCCTCGTCCACAAGCACCACTGATATAATGGCTTGCTGGAAAAAAGGACAAAACTGTGGTAAAATGGCCGTTGTGAGATGCCAGTTTAAAGTTTGCTTCGTCAGAGCTCTTGGCTGCAAACGTAGGAACGCCTCTTGAGTTTAAGACGAATGCAGTGACACAGTAAAGGCCCGTAGTAAAATGGCAAGCACTCATGGTCTTCAGTGGTCATTGCATTTTGAGTGCTTTCCTCAAGCTAGAGTAAATTGAAAAGATTAATGGATACTTTATTTCTCTAACTATAACATCAACACTTCCTTTAAAAGTGAAGTGATTAGATGTTAAAATGCTTTCTCTTATACCAGCTTACTATGCAGAGACAACTGTAATGAAGCCTTTATGGGTTGATTTCCTTAAAATCTATAAATACTCTGGCTCTGCGACTCATATGAGAGCATTACTCTGTTTGCTAGAACATCCCAGCCTACCCAACACAATAACATTGGCTCAGCCGATGGGGTGAGTTTGGGGCAGGGAGATGGCAGATGATTGGGGAAACTAGGTATTCTTTTAGCTACTCCATTTAGTGATGCTTGTGTCACCGAAATTACTCACTTCACTTTTGTATAATACGTATACTGGATAAGAGAAAATTGGAATTACTTTATATAAATTGTTTAAAATATATGCAGATGATTAAGCACTAGACTTAGTCTAGAGGCAAGTATTAAAAAAATACTTCCTAGAACCTAATATTCGTGTTTTTTTTTAATGTGCATTTTTGTTTTGTTTTATTTTATGTTATTTATTTATTTTTAATTGTCTTTATTAAAAATGCTTAATGATGTGCCCTGTTTTAAAACTGACTGTTCCATACAGGAACACCATGGCGGCAATCTTAAACGTTTCATAGGGGACCATTTTAAAGTGACAACCTTAATTTTGTGTAGATAAAGTTGAAAATTAAAAGCATATAGTTTTATGATGTCTGGCTCAAGGTTTAATGTCAACCCTGTTATCTTTCTGAAGGTATAGTTGTATTCCAGCATGGATTCAAATAGTTTAATTTAGCCTGTTAGTAATGTCATCTTTAAGGTAAAGAGCAGTTTTTAAATCTACTCCATACTTTTTTTTTTACTATGTTCAGCGTATAAATGCGCAAACATGCCCACAGAGTTTGTGCTCGCCTGTTTTTCATATATAATTATGTCCATCTAAAGCACACACACTGGGTGGATGTTTTTGGTGTACAAATAAATTAAATTTCCGTACACCAAACACACACACATGCGCACAGAGTAAACACAGCCATGGTGGGGGAATAAAGGTGCTTTTGTCCGGTGGGGGGCTGGGCCATCTGGAGCGCTCATGAATGTTCACTTCACTCCGCTCAGACATCGCGCCTCCCTGTGTACTTTCACAGCTCCGCTAGAAGAGGACGGAGGCATGGGTGGGGTCTGGATTGGGCGGATGGAGACAGGGTGGGGCTTTCTCGCAGCCAGTGAGATCACTGGAACACTGCATGCATATGTGTGTCAGTGTGTGTGTCTTTCTCTGCCTGTAGCAGGCATGTAGTGTTTGAACGGCACTGGCTAGGCACTCGAACACCTCCGTCAGTCTGTTCTGAGAGCGTGAGGCAAACGCTGTCATCTGTTGGGTTCAGCACCTTCTAGAAACACCCAGCACATTGTCTGACAGGGTTTCTTGCAGTACCAGCAGCTGTAATGTGTACGGTCCTGGTGTTTTTTGGGTTGGTAGTTCATTTCAACAGGTTTCTGTGGGTTCTGCTGTGAGGGGGGTGTTACACGCAAAAGGTTCAGAAAGTGTGTCCTAACTTCAGTCTCTCTGTGTTTGTCTGTCACAGTCGTCTGGAGGTGTGGTGGAGAATGACCCGCTCGGGGCTCTTCCTCCAGGCTGGGGTAAGTCTTCATTCATGCTTAATCTTCAGGTCAGCTGTCTTTTATGAGGTCACTGTGAGTTTGACGTTAACTTTAGACGTAGAGAGAGGCCTAGGACTACTTAATATTTAAAACTTTAATGCTACATCTACTGATAAATAGTAGAATTTGGTGGCTCGCTAAAATAAAATAAACGTAGCACCCAGCAGCATTAAAACTGTGCTCACAAGGAGTTGAACACAGAGGCCGAAACCGAGATGAAAGTAAATTTGCAACGATTTTTCTCACAAAGCAGCTATGCACATCCATGTAGTAGAAAGGGTTAATGTAGAGGCAGCAGCAAATTAAAAACCTCAACAGGGTGATCAGGACCTGTCCGATCATTATCCCAGTTATTAATAAATACATAAATAGCCATGAAATATAGTTTGGAGCTGAAATTAATGCTTGGGACTGTGGAGTGATACAAGTGACAGGGTGATACAACTAGCAGGGTGTAGGAAGATGGTTGATAGGGACAGCGATCAAAAGTACAGAACATTTTGTGTTTCAGTATAGGAAGGCATTTAATAAATAATTTTAATTATTACATTTATTGCGGCATGTGCTTTTATTGTCAACTAATTAAAACCACACCTTAATATCATTTGTTGGACACTTCAAATTAAAAATGTGTATGTATTCATATAAAAACAAATATTGGTTGAAGAGAAATCGTATTTAAATGTTTCTTTCTGTTAAAAATGGTAAAGCTGCGTCAGTGCTTTCTTTCTTGAGAAGTTCAGTACATCGAGTTCAGCAGTATAACATTGCGAAATGGAGCTGGGAAATCTCTGTGAGGAGAGGGTTAAAAAGGGGGGGGGGGAATCAGAAAAAGAGAGTGTTGTGTGAGCAGTAATGTGAGGGCTACTGTGTGCTTTAATGAAAACAAGATGTTAGACGTGGAGTGAATGAGGGGGTTCTTGCAGAGGGCTGCGTCTCTCTGTGTGGAAAAGCAATTGGCCAGCAGATTTTCTCTTCTCTTTTTCGATCTCTAAAACGTTAAGGTTTCTTTCTGTCTGTTGAAGTCTGTTAAACCCAGTTGAAAAGCTGAAAAGTGAAATTCGAGAAGGTATGTTGGAGCAGGCGCTAGTGAGATGCCCCACTGACTCATCAGTTTTCAGTGAGCTCTGTCAGATTTGACACTCACTTACCCATCAGCCTGTAGAGAGATATATACACTGTATACGTGTTGTAATGCATTTCTGACCATTCTGCCAAATAATATGTATGCTGAAAATGTTACTATTTCTTTTCTTTCTCTCAGAGAAACGTCAGGACAACGGAAGAGTGTACTATGTCAATCACAACACTCGAACGACGCAGTGGGAGGACCCTCGAACCCAAGGGTAATCATGTCCTCCTGTCATGTGTCCCATGCGGCCCACAGCAAATGATCTGCAGATTCAAGTGGACTTTGTCAGAGCGCTCTGTGTGTGTGTGTGTGTGTGTGTGTGTGTGTCTTGTTTAAAGGGGTCATATGATGCGATTTCAAGTTGTCCTTTCTCTTTGGAGTGTTACAAGCTGATTGTGCATAGATAAGATCCCTGAAGGTGCAAAGACTAAAGTCTCAAAACCAAAGAGATATTCTTTATCAAAGTTAAGACTCTGCCACGCCCCCCTAAAACGGCTCGTTCTAACACGCCCCCACATATCTACCTCACTATGTGGAAATATTTGCATAATGCACCCAAATGTGCACGCAAAGAAAGAAGGCGTGGTTGCAGTAACCACAGTTAGTGTTGAAGCAGCCATGTCAGGGAGACGCTGTGTGTTTCTAGGCGAAAGCAAAAGCACTTTATTTGGCCTTCCGAAAGTAGATGCATTTAGGAATCTTTAAGATTACTTACAACAGAACAGCAATGCATTTTATGGACGACCGTTTCGTGAACCTAGGAGAGGAGGTAATTCTGACTTTGCTATGACAATCTGGCGCTTCTGAATCAGCTACTGTTTTGTTATTAGTTTTTAGTTATTAGTATTTGCTATTGACTGTTCAAATGCGGAGTTTTGTGCATCGTACGTGCGCGTGTGTGTGTGACAGTTACACCAAATAATGATCTTTAAAAAAGCATCATATGACCCCTTTAAGCGTCAGTTAACCAATGTTGGGGAGGTTACTTTGAAACTGGAAAGCTACGAGCTGCTCATACTTGAGCTACAGTTGAGCTACCCTTTTGAAAATATAGTTGGCAACATTACAAGTTACTAGTGAAAAGGTTAGCTAATAACGTTAAAGCTACATGCAGTATGTGACTCAAGCAGTGTTTTTCATCTGGCACACATGCCCTGTCTAAAATATTTAATTTTATTTTCATCTGGTGCTGAATAATGTCATGCCATGTAATGTGCCAAAAACAGCTGCAGTGCAACTTGTCGGAAAAAGTGGGCAAGAGTTGTCTAAAATGGGCAGTTATAATCTGATTGGCTGATTGGCCTGCTACCTCAGGATGCATGTTTCACCACCCACTTGGAAACCAAGTCCTGTTTGCTGTCAAAATAAGCTCTTCTGAGGAAGTCTGAGCTTGTCTGCAAGTACACTTTCTGATGTCAGGTTTGCCCACTCCTAAATATGGCGTCACAAACGAACTGCCCTTTTTATGCTATTTTATAGTTATTTTTAAGGTAGCTGCGCTAGTTGCTTTGTGTAGTTGCCTGCTCAGCCAAAATGAATACCACACATTATCAAACTCATCCACTTAAGCTGCAAAACATTGTTTGCTCATTTTAATTTTGACATTTTTTATTTGTTCATTGCGTTTTAGATTTGACTGAACAACATCATGTTATGTAGTGTTAAGTGTCCAGCAGGGTGCGCTGCTCTCACTGCCCTCCTCCGTTTGCAGGATGATCCAGGAGCCGCCCCTGCCGCCGGGTTGGGAGATGAAGTACACGGCAGAGGGGGTGCGATACTTTGTGGACCACAATTCTCGCACCACCACCTTTAAAGACCCTCGGCCAGGCTTTGAGTCGGGGTAAACACTATCACACGGTATAGCTCAGATTGCATGCTTTGATTGTATGTGAAGGCAGGAGCTGTTCATTCACTGCAAACAGAGGAACAGATGCAGTAGATCAAGAACCTGATGGTAATGGGGATCCACAGCAGCTCTCCAGTTTGTGGAGGGTTCAAACCCACTAGGGACAGCAGATGTTTGATGCAGTGTTGGTGTATGACACATGCTAAAGTTTAAAATTCATATATATAATCTATATGTGCACTACCTGTCATTGTTCCTCCTATGATTTTAGATGTTTTTTGAAAGAAGTCTTTTATGCACACCATGGCTGCATTTATTTGATAAAAACAAACAAACAAAAAAAGTATAATTTGTGAAATATTATTATAATTTAAAATAGCTGTGAATATATTGTAAAATGTAATATATTGCTGTAATCGAAGCTGAATTTTCAACTTCAGATTCGTTCTAATATGCTGATTTGGTGCTAATTTATTATGAATTATTATTGGTGCTCTGTTATTAATAATTGTTCTCATTAGTATCAATGTTAAAACATTTTTGCTGCTTAATGTTTTTGTGGAGACCATGATCGTTTTTTTTTCAGATGAATATAAATTTAAAAAGAACAGCATTTATTTGAAATCTTTTGTAACATAATAAATGTCTTTACTGTCACTTTTAATCAATTTCATAGGCCCTTGCTGAATAAAAGTATTCTTTTCTTTTTTTATCTTACCTCAAACGGTTTCCACAAAATATTATTCAGCGAAAACTGTTTTCAACATTGATAATAATCAGAAATGATTCTTGAGCAGCAAATCAGCATATTAGACTGATTTCTGAAGGATCATGTGACACTGAAGACTGAGTAATGATGCTGAAAATACAGCTGCGCATCACAGAAATAAATTATTTTTAATTAAAGTATTTCTTTTTGAATTGTAAGAACATTTTACAATATTACTGATTGTACTGTATTTTTGATCAAAGCAGAACAGAAGAGACTTTTTCAAAAACATTACATAATCTTAATTATTCCAAACGTTTGACTGGTAATGTATAATTTGTTTATACTGTATGTCCGTTTATACTGTATTTTTTTCTTTCTTTGTTTCTCTCAAAATCTCCTTTGTGTCTTTCATGCATCTTTTTGTTGTCTTAAATGCTTCATTCCTCAGAGTTTCGCTCTCTCTAAAGTGGAGTGAACCGTCTTGTGCCTGTTATAACACAGCTGTGCAGCTCAACACAAGACACCCTGTAAATTACAATGCTTTCTCTGATCTGCATCGCACACTGTATTTTACAATATTACTGATTGTACTGTATTTTTGATCAAAGCAGAACAGAAGAGACTTTTTCAAAAACATTACATAATCTTAATTATTCCAAACGTTTGACTGGTAATGTATAATTTGTTTATACTGTATGTCCGTTTATACTGTATTTTTTTCTTTCTTTGTTTCTCTCAAAATCTCCTTTGTGTCTTTCATGCATCTTTTTGTTGTCTTAAATGCTTCATTCCTCAGAGAACCGTCTTGTGCCTGTTATAACACAGCTGTGCAGCTCAACACAAGACACCCTGTAAATTACAATGCTTTCTCTGATCTGCATCGCACACTGCCTTCAGTGATGTGACACTTTGACATGTTTCTGGAAGTTGTGTCATGGCTGACTTTATTCTGCCAGTTGTCCTGTTTTCATTGCTCATGTCCGGGGAAGAGCTTATGTTGACCTGACGTCTGTGTCAGCGTCTGAAGCGCCACACTCATGGAATAAATGACATCAGGATGTTCTCATAGTGCTTTGGCTTTATTTTCTCTGTCTTCCTGTTTAGCTCAAGACAGGGTGGCTCTCCGGGTGCGTACGACCGCAGCTTCAGGTGGAAATATCACCAGTTCCGCTTCTTGTGTCATGTGAGTTGTTCAGGTCTTGAGCTAGCGCAGCATTTTTGTGATTTAGCATCAACAAATTAAAGTATGGTCTCCTAATTTTTGTCTTTTTATGCAGTCCAACGCGCTGCCCAGTCATGTGAAGATCTCCGTATCCCGACAGACTCTATTTGAGGACTCATTTCAACAGGTGAGTATACTATACCAGTTCAATACGGATGTGTTGTAGGGCTGCTCAACTTTTGTCCGTTGACGTTTCCGTTATAATCACCAAAGCTGTTTTACCAATGTTATTTAAAGGAAAATTAGCAAACAATATTTATCTTTAATTTATATTGATAATATATTATCAGCATTATTTAAAGCAATAAGCCCCAAGAAGTCGTGGTTTACAGTGAATTTATAACAGCTAAGGGGCGTTGTTAGGTACGACGCGAAGCCGAGTGATTATTATTAAAACGTTATTGAAAAAAAATATGCATTCTATATAATATTAGGCTATATATACAGTATGCGTGTATATATATATATATATAGGCTCTTTTGGAAAAATGCATTAACCAAAAAATAAAAAATTGGCTCTTTGGTCAAAAAAGGTTCCCGACCCCTGGTTTAAAGCAATAAGCCCCGTGAAGCCGTGGTTTACAGTGAATTTATAACAGCTAAGGGGCGTTGTTAGGTTCGACGCGAAGCCGAGTGACTAAAACCCTCTTAGCTGTTATAAATTCACTGTAAACTACGACTTCTTGGGGCTTATTGCTTTTATAAAACGGTTATTCCATATACATAGTATGGTTTCACAAAATAAAACAGAGCCAATAAAGTGTAATGATATGAATAAAAACAGTATTCTTCCGCCAAACAATGTAGTTCCTCAGAAACGGTTGTGGTTGCAACAAAGTGGTTGCAGAGCAACACACAGAAGTAAACAAAGGTGTGTGTTTGTAGAGTAATTTACAACAGCTTCGAACGCGGCTCAGCCAATCAGAATCAAGGACCGGAACTATCCGTTATATAAAATTATATTACTAATGACAAACCAAATTGATCTCCAAATTATGGATGTTTTAATTCAAGGCCAGTTCACACCAAGGATGATAACCCTAATGGCAATGATAACTGTGAATTTTTAATAATCATTCTAATTTTATAAGAACAGGGAAGTCCACATCACAACTATAACAATATCATTAGAATCACTTTCAAAGCATTTATATCCAGCGGATGAATTAGAAAAGCATTGACAGCCAATCAGAATCCACATGACTTTGAGCATTCAAAGCGGCAGATGACAAAACTGCACTGCGCGCTTAGAATAAACAATGTTATTGTCCACTGGTGTGGATGCTAATATAGTTGTAGTTAAAGTTATCTTTATAGTTGTCAATCTTGGTGTGATCGGGCCTTATATAATTTTAGCTTGACCTCCTGAGGTGGACAAGCAACATTTCTGAATAATATTTTCACACTTTATAATGAAAGTCCCGTGGTGTTTCCTCTCAGATCATGAACATGAAGCCGTATGACCTCCGCCGGAGGCTCTACATCATCATGAGAGGAGAGGAGGGCCTGGATTACGGAGGAATAGCCAGGCAAGTTCATTATGAGCTCCTGTGGCGTCTTGCTGTTCGTCATCCTCATGTTCCTGCTCGTGTGCTGAGTGTTTCTTGTTTCGGGGAGGCTGTGGTGTAACTTTGCTCGTTGGTGTCTGGACCACGTAGTTGTCTTCCTGTGTCTGTGTCTGTCTCCTGTGTCCTGTCAGTGGTTTTACCCTATGGTAGGTTACGTCATGCTGTTCTACCACAGGGTAGAACCACGGACCGGATGTCTGGAGGTGTCTGCGTCGTCCTGTGGTGTGACAAAACCACCCCCACCCCCCTAAACCTTCTGACCTTCCAAACAGCCCTGGGGTCAAAGGGCAGGGCTTGGGTTCTGTTGTACTGTTTATGATTTGGTGTGTGTGTGTGTGTGTGTGTGTGTGTGTGTTTGTGCTGTTGAATCTGTCTTCATCTTCATCACTCTGTGGCACTTGCACTGTTTTTTACATGCTAAGGAAGCTGAAACTTCACTTCATTTCAGTTTATTACCTTTAATTCTTACTTCAATAGAATCACTGTCCGTCAAATTGTGTTTAATAATTGTTAAATGTTTTGATTCCATTGTTTTGTCATAATTGTTTATTTTTATTCAGTTGTTTTATTCTACAAAAGAATCATTATATTATTTGTGGGTTTCTCTGTAAATGTGTTTTCTTTTGTTAGCTTCCCTCACAAGTGGCTCACAGAATGATTATGCCTACATATCACTTTCTTTACAATTTGTAAAAACATCACTATTTTTTAAGGAATGAGTTGGAGTGGATGGGGAAGGAAAAGCAGCCAAAATGTGTCCAGCATACACAGAAAGTTTATGCTTTTTAAACAATACTGTGTTTTAAAATATTCCCAGGATGCACCTCATGAAGTGGATTTAAAGAATGTACAGAGTATGTAGTACGTAGAGCTGCATGTTGGCTATTTGATACATTTTTATCACTTTACTGCTGTTCTAAAATTTGGGAGATATTATTAATAAAAATAAATAATGAGAAAGTTATGACAATGTAAATTAAATAATTCCAAGTTGGTGTTTCCTTTGCCATTGTTCACATTGTTATGCGAGTTGTCTACTCTTATAAGTAGTTGCTTCTTATATAAAGAAACACTCTGTGCAAGGCTTCTGTCAGGCCAATGAAATGTTCCCTTTACTGAATACTTTCGTAAATCATTCCTAATTTATACTAATAAACTCTATTACAAATACAAAAACCATTTTGATTTGTTAGCATCCAAAGAATTCCCCAAACTATCTTTATTCTTGCGTAATTTGCGACACAGTGCATGTATGGTCATCTTTAGCTGGTATTATATTGTTATGTTACTGATGCTATGTTTTGTATTTCTGTCTGTAGGGAGTGGTTTTTCCTGCTGTCTCATGAGGTGTTGAACCCCATGTACTGTCTGTTTGAGTATGCCGGGAAAAACAACTACTGTCTGCAGATTAACCCTGCTTCTTCCATCAACCCCGACCACCTCACCTACTTCCGCTTCATCGGCCGCTTCATTGCCATGGTGAGAACGCCATGTAGTCATGTGGACTAGTAGTTTCACTCTTGAATTAAATTAAAGTCTGCTCTCTGTCAGACTGCATTTCTGGGAGCAATGCATTTCTGTGTGTGTGTGTGTGTGTGTGGTTGGGTGTGAACCTCATGGCATGAGAATGAAATCATTGTGTTTTGATAGAGTGACTGGTCTTATATTAAGGTCTGGACAGAGCACAAGCAGTTCCTCTCACACCCTTTTAAGAGCACTTAACATTCTCAAAGACGTTATAGAGATTCCCTATGCTGCTGCTGTGTTCATTTTTTCCCCCTCAGCCCTTGTGTTTCTCCTGATTTGTGCCTGTTCTGAATAGACTGTGTGACTCGGGGTGACTGTTTTTTTTGAAGATCATTCCCAGAGCTCTGTGCTGTTACTTTAAACAGTATGCTTGCCAATAACAACAAATCACATTTCTATGTGTTTTCGAAGTCTGTATATAGAGAGAGAAGAGAATTTAAGAAAAAGCAAAATAGAGTGTTAGATGATGTAACTCTAATTCACTAAACGGTTGTGCCACTTGAGTCAGCATGCAGTGTTTTTATTTGTATAACTTCAGTCCAGATAAATCTGGTGCTATATGGATAATTATATGATAAGTATAGCAAAACTAGGCCAATGACACTTTAGGAAAGCACATAAAAATCATGACATTATTCATGATTTCTTAGCTCTCCAGAGGAGAGTTTTCGTGAAGGTCCATTTCATGTGCAAATTACTGTGAATTTACACACATATTTATGAACGTTTCATGATTTTAAGATTATGATCAGATGATACAATCGCCAGCATTTATTTTTTATGCAGATACATTCAGAAGGAAGATACAAATGTCCAGTATTAGTTTCAAAACTGTTCCAGTCAGAAATCATTCTTATTTTTAATTTGTTCCGTCTGTATAGTTTTATTTCGAAGTCTGTATATAGAGAGAGAAGAGAATTTAAGAAAAAGCAAAATAGAGTGTTAGATGATGTAACTCTAATTCACTAAACGGTTGTGCCACTTGAGTCAGCATGCAGTGTTTTTATTTGTATAACTTCAGTCCAGATAAATCTGGTGCTATATGGATAATTATATGATAAGTATAGCAAAACTAGGCCAATGACACTTTAGGAAAGCACATAAAAATCATGACATTATTCATGATTTCTTAGCTCTCCAGAGGAGAGTTTTCGTGAAGGTCCATTTCATGTGCAAATTACTGTGAATTTACACACATATTTATGAACGTTTCATGATTTTAAGATTATGATCAGATGATACAATCGCCAGCATTTATTTTTTATGCAGATACATTCAGAAGCAAGATACAAATGTCCAGTATTAGTTTCAAAACTGTTCCAGTCAGAAATCATTCTTATTTTTAATTTGTTCCGTCTGTTTAGTTTTATGTTGTTTCACAGATCACTAATGATAGTGAAGCATTTGTAAGACAATGTTATGGTTTCCTTATTGAAGGTTAAACTGTTATTGCAGCCATTTCTGTTATCATGACAAACATTTATTTATGGTTAAAATGGGTTACAACGATACGGCAAAATTGCCCTAATGACTCTTGAAAATGGGCTTGATAGAATTCAAAACATGTAATAATAATGCTTTGAATAGCCAACAATTCACCCTCCAGCCATGATGTCACACTGTAATTCAAGCACTGAGAACAGCGTATGTGTGAAATTTTGCATGCTGCAATAATAATAATAATAATAATGTTGTTCCTAAATTTAAACGGGAAATTGGATGAAAGTCAACTGTTAATTATCCACGACTGTATGCAATGTGGTCCCAATTAATGTGAACTCATAAAATCTGCATTCATAATAAGACTAATAATCTTAGAATAATAATTCTAAAAGATTTAGCAAAATCCATTTTAAATTAGATTTAGAAGGCCATGTGACATTCCCAGAGGTATGGAATTAAATCAAAATGAACAGTTCTGTTTTTATGGAATGTTGCAGTGGTTATTATAAATGATATATCCATGAACATTATTTATTATTATTATTTATTTATTTTTTATATGTGCCCTCATGATCTTAAACAAAAACATTAATGTGCCCCTCACAACGACATCTCAGATGATGTGCATATCTGCACAAAGACTGGGCAATAAGGTTGTCTAATAATAACCATACGAGTTTTAATCCCTTCCCTTCAGTACCCTGTCATATTTCATAATAGGGAAGTGCGTCCCAATTCGCATACTTATGCACTATTCTGTGCTGTTTTGTAGTGTATATAGTGTGTTCACACTGAAAATTCCAAAAAGAAAAAGTGCACTTGAAATAGCCGAATGATGCACTTAAATAACCGAAAAAATTAAGTGTGGAATGTTGGACACTTCATGCACTCAACTGTTGCAGATTTAATTATGCAGCGGAGGGGGAGGGGCTGTCAGACTCCGGTTATGAATGACAAAATATCCTTCTATAATTCAAACACTACACGGTTGAATGCATAGTGTATAGTGCGTCATTTGGGACAGAGCGTATAACTAGCATTATTTGTATTATGACCTGTGATCGGCTCTCTGCAGGCACTATATCATGGGAAGTTCATTGACACGGGCTTCACTCTACCCTTCTACAAGCGCATGCTTAACAAGAAACCCACCCTCAAAGACCTGGAGTCCATCGACCCTGAGTTTTACAACTCCATCATGTGGGTCAAGTGAGTATCAAGACTGCAGCTCTGTTCATGAGGATGTTCTGTGATAAGCACGTGACATTCGTGCTGATGTGTGTTCACAGAGAGAATGATTTGGAAGAGTGCGGCGTGGAGCTGTACTTCGCTCAGGACATGGAGATTTTGGGCAAGGTGACGACACACCAGCTGAAGAACGATGGAGAAAATGAACTCGTCACTCGGGACAACAAGGAGGAGTATATTAGGTACAGCTGCCCTATGTTTAGATGATAACAGTTTTACTGGGCAGTTAATCAGACTCCTTTATCCAAAGAGGTGTAATAACAGGAACTCTCCTTAAAGATGAAGTGTGTATTTTTTTGTAATTCTAATATACTCCTATTCTTATATACTCCTATTACAGTTTAACATGCAACTCCACTTTACGAGTCTGTCGCCTGTTCGAGAAACCTGGTTGAAAACAGTCATTTTGCAATTCTGCTTTAACCATTAAGCCACAATCAACCTGATCTGTTCAACTTTTTCCTTTTTTGTGTCGTTTTAAAAAGAACTATTCCTTTAACACAGTGATTTTAAGCTCATTTCATTCGTGTTTTTCCTGCAGTCTGCTCACTGATTGGCGCTTCACACGTGGGGTGGAGGAGCAAACGAAAGCCTTCCTGGATGGCTTCAATGAAGTTGTGCCTCTGGAGTGGTTGCGTTATTTTGATGAGAAAGAGCTAGAGGTGGGTGTTTTGGTATTTTTAGTAAGGACTTGACATAAAATGTAATTAAAAAAAAAAAACCTTGTCTATACAGAGACACAAACATTAGTGGCATCACTGAGGAAACAGATGTAAATAACTCTGGTTTTGGGCTCTGTGGTTAATTTTGGACTTGTTTTAGGCGTATTGATGTTATCTTTATCAGATGGTTAATGGTGTGGGATTGTTTCTTGCTCCAGCTCATGTTGTGTGGGATGCAGGAAATTGATCTGAATGACTGGCAGAAGAGCACCATCTATCGGCATTATACCAAAAACAGCAAGCAGATCCACTGGTTCTGGCAGGTAATTCACACCTTCAGTCTCAGGTGTTTTATGCACTCACAGCTACGCTCTTCCTCCTCTCTTTCTCTTTTTACTATATATATTTCATTATGTGTCACACAGGTGGTAAAGGAAATGGACAATGAGAAGAGAATTCGCCTGCTGCAGTTCGTCACAGGAACTTGTCGCCTGCCGGTTGGAGGCTTTGCAGAACTGATAGGTAGGGTTATAATATCAGTTATCATGTACCACAGACACAACAGACTCATGTGTCGTACAGTACAAAATTAAATCAGTGCATGCTATCAAGATGTCAGATATGTAGCATTTCATGCTTGCTGCTTTGGCTTTGTATTATATAGCCTATATTTTATATATTTTTTATTTTCTATTATATATTAATCACGTAGTGGTTTACAGAAGGAGGATTTGCAACTTTGAGATCAATAAACGTAATACAAATGAAAGGATAAGCTTGATATATTTTTGAAGTTTTTAGTTTTATTGGTGGCACTGTCCATGAATAGGTTACAAAATAAGGACTTTTGAGTCTGTGAAAGGAGGTCAAACTAAATATCATATAGTAAATGATAAAATCAAAGAAAAACAACAACTATTTGTTTGATCATCTTTTTCTTACAGTACATTGGGGAACACTAAATGTGTGTAAAAATTGAGAAAATGCAGCGAGTCTTCACACCATGCAGCTTTGAGCTCTTTACATATGACCCGAGCTCTGTCCTCATTGTGCATATTCAATGTTGAAAAGTGTAAATGGATTTAATAGTGCATTTTTTTATGATCTTGTTGTTTAGGAAGTAACGGGCCACAAAAATTCTGCATAGACAAAGTGGGGAAGGAAACCTGGCTGCCTAGAAGTCACACCTGGTGAGACTCTAAATCTGGAAGACAATACGAAAGAACTGTTTTCACAGAAGTGTTTTTGTGCTTATTTGTCCCTCCTGCCTTACAATTTCAGCTTTAATCGTCTGGATCTGCCACCCTATAAGAACATGGAGCAGCTCCGAGAAAAACTTCTGTTCGCTATCGAGGAAACTGAGGGATTCGGACAAGAGTGATGAGACTGATTATATCTCGGCATGCGAAGGACAGGACCGACACAATAATTAACCAGTTTCTTTTTTTTTTAAAAAGGCCATTAGTGTGGACTGAATGAACAGACTTACAGTCTGACAGATTTACAGTTCAACCTAAAAATGAAAACTTATTTTATTCACCCTCACGACATTCCAAACCGATATGCTGTTATTTTTCTGTGCAGCACAAAAGAAGAGTTTGGAGGAATTGATCGCTATGATTTGTTGTTGTACAGAAAAGAGCTGCGTGACGATTCTTCAAACTTCAACGTTTGTGTTCCACAGAATAAATAACCGCGTGCTCATACGTAATGTCATGAGGATGAGCAAACAACAGCTTCATTTTTGGGTTAACTATACTTTTAAACAGCAGAGCGAAGACGCTGATGGACCAGCAGCAGATAAATGATTTGTCTGAATGTAATATTTCATTTGGTCACTTCAGGGAATGATGATTTCACCTTACATTTCTATGCAGATAAAACAGTGCAAATTATGGAACACTTCACAGCATAATGTCATTAACCAGATTTGTCAATCAAATTCAAATGAATTCCCTGAACTGCCTAAATCAAAATGTAATCAATCCTGATTTTCCAGTGTGAGGTGAAATTCTCAAACTCACTGCTTATAATGCAGAATTATTACTACTACTAATAAAATAAACCGCAGCGAATCTTCAGTTGCAGATGTCATGGACCGCAGAGATGGGGCTCGTGTGTCATATCAGTGCGTGTATATGGACTAGAAGACCACTGAGATAGAAAATAATTGTTTTAAGATTGATCAGACATGATTTCATTATTTTGTGACATGCTACACTGTATATAGATGAAATAAAATCCAGTCATGGACTGTAAACATAATCTGTGGCAGAAAAATGATGAAGGATGATGTTGACAGGTAATAGGGCGGTTCTTTAATGAATCGTCTAATAGTTTAAAAATCACGTTCAGTTTATTTGGTATTTTTTATAACAAGCCATTGCTGTCCCTAATGCTGCTGTCATTACTACCATCTCAACAAGCAATTCAATTTAAGTTTATTTTCAAGTTTATATTTAATTATAATGGAGATGAGAAGATGGAGCACATTTCTGCCTATGCAGCAGAGTGACCGTTTGAAGATATGAAATTTGCTGAATTTACCATAAGTTGTGATTTCCATAATTATTACTAAAGGACAATAACGTCCCCAGATTTGGAATTATGTGTTTCTATGGCAACACTATACACACGGAAATAAATCTGTGTAATTAATTGACTTTAAATAATAGTAATAAATAGAATTTTTAGGATGCCATAGAATTCCAGCATGGCATGAATGCACCTTTTAGGATTTCTACTTTCTACTCTGAGCAGCTTTATTGGGTGTCACTACCAAAATGGTCAGTAGATCAAAATAAATAAATAAAATAAAATCATGCATTATTCCAATGTTAATTTGAAGGCTGATAAAGGCCATTATCTTTACCACTATATTTCGTTTTTAGACATAATAAATGTTTTAACACATGAAATATCATTTGAAACATTTTTTTTTTTAAAGATTTTGATCAGAAGTGCCGTTATTTTCAATTTCAGGTTAAATATTCAACTGCTGACTTTCGGAGCAGCAATCTGTAATTACTGGAAGTGTTTATGATGTAATTACTGGAAATGTTTGATACAGCACGTTTTTTAATATAGTTATGTAAATAAGTTATGTTCAGCTCAACAAAATATGTTCAACAAATGTTGTTTTGTGGAGAAAAACTTGCTCATAAACCATAATGACCGTAATGTGAATGAATCACTCTTTTGATCATTCTCGGCTTCACGGAGGGACATGGCCCACCCTACCATCCACCTGTTACCCCAACTGTCCAGTCCAGTCGTGTGGCCCACTTTTCTTAGATCTGAAAATGTATTTGTGAATCAATATGAATGAACGATGAATTTATATAGCTATTGTGTATTGCTGTACACCCAAAACGCTTAACAATTA